GATACTCATTAGAAATGATTATCTACCTAGATTCGTCGATATAAACTTAACACCAAGATAACTCTCTGTATCATTTGATTACTAAATGGTTAGCTGATATTCTACAACCTGTTAGAAATCATATCAATAGATACAACTCTCTTGATTCATTTGATTTCATCGACTCAATTATAAATATCAATGTAAATGGTAAAAAAAAAAAACTAATCTCATTGGATGTCACTTCTCTTTCTATAAATGTTCCACTCATAAAAACTATGTAATTTCATGTGACTATATTGAAAATAACAACCTTGATATATGTATCCCAAAACATTATCTACGATATGCTTTAAATGTGCAATTTAGAGTTAACAATGATTTCTATAAACAAACAGATAGAGTTACAATGGGTTACATCACTGGGTCCCTTTTTGGCCGACTGTTTCATGACCAATCTAGAAAATATGGTACTTCGACGAATAATTGAGCGCCGTCATTCATATAAAAGATATATTGATGATACCTTCATTATCTCTGAAATTCTGAATCGAATCAATAATTGTCATCACTCAATTCAATTCATATTGGAAGCAGATGATAACGAGGGATTTAATTTTCTTGATGTTTGGTTGGCAAGACAGTCAGATGGTTCTTTACAGAAACCCACATAGAGAAAACCGACCCGGAATGATTAGTACACGAATTTCCATAGCTGGGTCCCATTGAGTAGAAAGAGAAACTTAATTCACTCTTTATCCTCAAGGATTAGGCGAATATGGGCTAATGACTCAATAAATGGCGAACTACTTCAACTACAATAGACACTCATCAGAAATGGTTAGCCACCTAGATTTGTTGATAGGAACTTCATACCTAAACAACATCCTAAAAAAGCACCAACAGTTTAAAAAAAAACTCTTTATAAAAATATCGAGTTTAAAGGAGATATAGCTGCCGAAATCTTGAATAAACGGATGTCAAAATCCCTGAATAAAACCTTTTACTTAGCTAAGCTTCGCATTGTCCTTTCAAGTCGACCTACCATTCACGGATGTGCTAAGGAGTCTCAAATCACTTCATGATGCAATCTTTTCTATCCTTCTATAGACATATATTTACCACACAATCGTAAATACGAATGTGCAGCTTAAGCAAATAATTTCATCGAAAAGAAAATTTCCTTGACTGAATTCTCTTTATCTTTACTCAATGACACAATGGGTTATTGTAGTTGTTATGTAAGTATTTTAATAACTAATCAAGTTATCAGTTAAATTCAAATCGTAGGTTACATTCGTCAAAGACTGATACATGGTTGTGTACTATTGGAAATCAAGGAACACTCGACAGTTGTTTCGTCCAAATGTGAGACTGCTTAACAGATTTAGTTTCTGCGATCATATCATAAATCTGATGAGTTCCTAAAATTTATTGATTTATTTTGTGTAAAATACACATAATATCTAATGGGGAGAAAAGCCAAAAAATGGGTCACCAAAAAAACGTCAAGAGATAACATTGCGAAGGAAAACAAAGAAAAAAAGGAGTATAACTGAGGAAAAAGAGAATAAGTGAACAAGAATAGTATATCTAATATTTAAATCCAATACAAGTTTGTTTTCAATTCTTAACGAGTTATTCACTGTGCTACTTATTTCACGTAGCCACTAACTTGTTTAACGGGTATGAAGGTAACGGAAAGATTTTATGATTACCATTTGCCTCATAAATGACTGACCAGTTACAGTTCTGAACATAAAACAATAAGAGATTATGGTTCTTCACTAAAAAGACTCTTTTAGATCTAAACATCAACAACTGTTAATACAATGATTTATTTGTATTGATTACTAGAATTATCCCGTTGATGTTATGAACAGTAGTTAATCAGTCAATTTTGGCATCAATATTACCATTACGTCACAAACATCTTTAAGTATAATTGAATGGTGATTAGCTGTGGAATAGAGAACGTTCTTTTTATCAACACTAGGTTAGGGATACATCCATCTGAGAAGTCCCGAATAAGTTAACACTGCTTTGTATCATAGAAAATTAAGTTTTAGAATTCATTTCACTACATATATATCAGCTAAGTTACTTTAAATAACTTATGAATAGAATTTTACTCTGATAACCAAAAAGCACATAGCAGTAATGAATGCGCTTTATTTATATTACTACAATACCAGGTCACATATGCCGATTACTTGGTGTAATCAACTTTCCATGAATAAAGTGAAAAGAAATGTAATGATGTTGCATTGGTTTGAAATAATAAAGAAAAACAATGACAACAAGATGTTAAAAACATCAACGCAGTCACACACACAAACACACAAATATTTGTATGGAATGTTAAAAGTGGTTAAATTTTTATTAGTTTTTTTCTATGTAGATAGTGTTCATAAATACCTGAAATCTGTTGGAAAAATTGAGGATACCAAGTAACCTATAGATTGGTTTTGTCATAAATTAATCTCAGTTTAGGTAGTGTTAGAAACTAGAGTGAACTGAACAATTGCTTAGTCCCAATATGACACTCTTCAGAACTGTAGTAAGTGTCTATGATCCTAACGGGGATCAAATCCAGAATCTTAGGTTGTGCGACGACCACTTAGTTATGAGAATCGTTGTCCGACTGTATCTATTTCCAACTTTAGCCAATATCTGGTATGGAGCAATGATCATTCAATAACATTGTGACAAATATTCGCTTAACGACGTCTGAACATTGGAGGAAGAGGCGTGAGATTGTTCTTATTAACTTCACACAACTAATCAACACAACCACTGTCAGTTTGAAAATTTCAAACGGTTTATAAACGAATAAGTCAAGAAACAAATTTGTTCGAAATTTTGTATTACCACGTAGGGAAATTGGACGATGCGACCCGTAGCAAAGAAACACTATGAACTAATGTTTTCAATGGTGGTTTAACATTCTTCAGTTCACGATTTCTATGAAACTCAACAACCTCCAGAACCCTATACTGATAATTAAAGTATTATTGAATGAGTTTTTATATACGGTCTAAAGTATTTTATGGATATGTTAATAAACAAACACACATCGACAAAGACCCCTATACGACAAAAGCGCCTACATAAAAATTAATGATTAATTGAGCGAAAATATACACAAAATGATGGATAGGACTGATATAATATACACTCGTTACCAACATGAGTTATTCTTTAAAACAATTTAGACAATAATAAGACTGTGTAGATATAGCCACTATTTAAGTCTGCCTAAAAATGCTTCTGACTGATAATAATGTCGAAGACGATCCAGAACGAAGTATCAATGATATAACAGAAACATAATAACATTTTTTTGTCAACCGCATCTAAATCAATTACAATAGTGATATAAACAATTTCACTTGATTAAATATTTCTCAAACTGAACACTATCACTGAACTGCATCAGCTTAATCCTAACATAAATAATAATAAGGCTGAAAATCAAGTAAAAAACTGATATAGGAATATGGAAGAACTGAAGTATGCACAACAAAACAAGAAAAAGATTAATATAGAATGAAGATTTTATGAATCCTGTAAAAAAACATATGACGAATACTTTATCATTTTATTTATTTATTTTAATTGAACACAGATATTAGTACAAGGAGGCACCAAATACATATGCGCCACATAGATCTCATTTGATATGTGTGAGGGTTGGGATACTGCCCGGGTGCCCAAATCGAAGCAGGACGAATAATTTAACCGAATTCATTCATTTATATATAAATCTTACTACTAATATTTAATGATTAGTTAACATATAATCAAAATAGAAGGAAATACATTCATAGATTGTACAAAGAAATAATATAGAACACAAACTGTATGTTAGAATGAATGAAATTCACATCATCACGGTAATAACGATACCAGATGAATATTATACAGAGTAATTATCATACTAATTTTTTTTTAAAAACCCAGAAGTAACTATTGAACAAGAATCATATTGAGTTATTAAATGATCTCACATAGTTTTATTCTATTTTAACACCAAGTGTACACAAGCAAGTGTAGTTTGATAATGAATCTTTAATAATAATAACACATTAGGTTGAATTATTATTACAATCACTATTATTATTATTGTCATTATTATTATTATTATTATTTGACAATAATAGTTGGAAAATATGGGGCATGACATTAATCACTTATCTTCAATCTAATCCATTCTTGGAAAGAATCAATGAATGTTTCTATGCACATTATATTTACTACCAGGTTACAGAGATAGAATTTATAGACTTTTAATATCCTATTGATTGTCTACAAAAGTATCTAACAATGAATCAACCCATTAAACCATTGATTGTATTGAATCAATTAAAGTTTCCGGTGTTCAATAAGTTCGTATTGTATCCAACACTGTTAAGCAATTTTACGTCTATTCAATCAATGAGTCTTAAAAACTAGAATTCATTTCAAAAGCTAATTTTCACCATATTTGCTTATAACAGATAGTTACGGATACTTTTAGAAGCTTGAAATGAAATCTTTAATGAAAATTACACTCTAGAATGTAATGTTCACCTACTAAAATAAACAGAAATGCAGTCGAATAATGTTGGATACAACACATACACTGGAAATCGAAAACATTGAAGATAACTTCAACCAAAGTCGTTTTCTCCATAAAGTGAAAAACAAACTATGATTTCAGATTTAAATAACTAAAAGAAAATTACAAAACAGTACATAATTTTAATATTAAATTATAAGTGAAAATATATGCAAAGATGGAAGGTGGTCAGCAGTGGAATCCAAGACTCTGTGACTTAAGGCAATAATCGAGGCAATATGCACTGGATTCATATATATATACCGAAAAAGATTGATTAATTGTGGTCCTACAACTCAATGGTAATATTCAAACAATCAATACAAATGAATAATTGAAATTAAAAAGAACAATTATTCATAGTCTATGTGTATTCTTTAAATGAAATAAAGAAATAATAATAATAAATGGACACACATACCTCTAAGCTAAAATAACCTCTGTCAACATAATCTCCAAGAAATAGATAACGTGTTGTTTCAGGAGGACCACCAACTTCGAAAAGTTTCATTAGATCATAAAATTGACCATGTATATCACCGCAAACTAAAATAATAAGTAGATATACACATACAATATTATAATGATTTTAAAGCTTAATATTATAATTTGTTTTAAATTATAAATGAATGAATTGAGGAGTAGTTTATTAGAATCTTATCAACATTTATTTTCACAGATTGAAATCATAAGTCAATTGAAGCTAAACCACCATGGAAAACCTGGAAGCATTGAACGGCCGTTTCGTTCTATTGTGGGACTCCTCAGCAGTGCGCATCCACAATCCCGCACCCCACGAGATTCGAACCCAGGACCTATCAATCTCGCGCCAGGCGCTGCTGAGGAGTCCCATACTAGGACGAAATGGCCGTCCAGTGCTTCCAGGTTTTCTATGGTGATCTAGCTTTAATTGACTCATGATTTCAATCTGTGAAATTTCTAAAATCTCCACAAACCCCTTCTGATAATATTTATTTTAACAGTAACGTCAAATATTTAATTAATTTTTAGATTAAGCGAACACTGAAAATTACCACCAATATTCAATACTTAATTTATCACGTCAAGAACATTTGCAAGCAATAATAATAGTAATAATAAAGACGTGATTCATTTATGATTTTCAACGGTTAAATGATTCATTGATAAACATTATACACAAACTAAGCTAAAAACCATTAGGTAAAGTAGTTTAAAGAGATTGTTGTAATACGTAAATATTATAGCTTGAAGAAGTGACTTTAGTCAGATAATGATTGTAAATCAATTAGGAATAAGTAGTTGACCTGCGTGATGTTTCATAATTGTACATACAAACAAATTCCCAATCAGGAAGAAACACTTTCACAAGCCTTCAGAGTGAATGCTGCATTTGAGTCTTGTCATTCTCAAAACGTTTATTTGTTATGTAGAATTCACAACTGAATATTGATTATTACCATTATGGGGATTTGTGGAGAGTGTAGTATTTTAATAATGGAATTCACAAGTCAATCTAAGCTAGACAATTATTGAAAAACTGTAAGCACTAGGGGTCGTTTCGTCCGAATGTAAAGCGCCTCAGCAATGAGCATTCACGACCCCCTACACAAAAGCTTCACCTTTAGATCACTGAGCCTGGATAAAACGATGTTGATGTCTAACTCTAATCAATCCATGATCTCGCGCAAGATGGTGGATGCGCACAGCTGAAGAGCCCCTTACTAGGACGAAACCGCCGCGAAGTGTTTTCAGGTTTTCAACAGCGATCTAATTTAGATTGACTGATGAATTCAACAGTTTGAATATTAATTATTTTTAATTGTATAATATGCTCACCTCAAATGGTTTAATTCAACAAAAATTTGTAATTATGTTAAGAGATGTATACACTTTTATATTTCAAGTATAATCTACTGTTGTAGATGTTAAAATCCACAAGTACAATTGGTTAAGAAGAAAGTACATAAAAGATTATGTAATGATTTAAAGTGTAACTTTTATATTGAATTAATTCAGTGTAAAATTTCTATTCAGTAAAGTATTCATTCATTTGTATTCATTAATCCCATGTGATTTTTTCTTATTCATTTAGCATAATATTTATTTGTATTAAATTATATTTAGAAATTCGTTTAGTGTAACCAATTTCTATCAAAAATAATCATAATGAATAGCTTTATTGAGAAATGAATATGTTCGAATGATCAGTATTCTGCTTGAATGTTTTTTTTAGTGGGACCCTTTATTTTGTTGTCGTTTTGATCGGACAATGTTTGTTGATGGGCTCTCCACTTCAGCGGCCCAAGATCTGACTCCAAGTAGATCGTATGAATGATTGTTATTGAAATATATATGTCGCCTATCCCCGTATATGTGTATATAATCATCGACTTAAATTGCGTTAGTCAATAACGGAATTAAAGAAGTCAAATAACGAGAATTGACTTTTGAATACATATTTTTTGTATATGAAGCGAATAAAATAGAGAGCAGAGAAACGACGCACAGTAGAGATGGTGTGCAAGCCAACTCCATTTAGTCAAGCGTTAATCAATACTTACAGTCACACAAAAATAACTTACAGACATGAGATGAATAGGATAAGAAATGTACGCACACATATGAGCTCATATAAAAACAGTTAAGATTGATAAGCGAATAATTAACAAGGTCAAAATGTAACTCAACTAGAATGAATAGATTGGCCTATCCGAAAGCAATAATAAGATATATGGGCTTAACATGTCAACCTACACTACAGTTTGACAAAAAATCATCTAGACAATTTAGAACTTCCATCTTTACTTAGCCGGCAAGGTGAAAAAGAATAGGAATTGATTTCATTCAATACTATTAAAACTAGAGTTGGTTACCACTAACTCAATGTGAAAACGTATTACCTATTTAGTAGAATTGTTATACCAGAGACTCAATATAAAAAGTAGCTATGAAATATCCAAAAACTTTGTCACAATCAGGAGCAATTTTGACCAGTGAACATCATGGTTACTTTTATCTAACCATTTATTATCTTATGAGTTAAATTATACGAGTTGATAGTTATGGTCAATTAATCAGTGGCTCTTTCGTTCGTAATCTGTACAGTTGAGAGATTTAGGGAGAGTGTTTCATGAGCAAAATAATACATGTAAGACAAATTTAATTTCACTAATTTTACCATTATGATATTTGTAAACCACTGTATCGGAATATAACTAACTCTGATGGAAATCATAGATACGTACACTATGTAAGCATTACAGAAAATATGGAAATTGTCCAGTATAGATTGGGTTTTTTTGTAAGTACTTTACTGAAATAGTGTTGCCGTTTAAAAAAAGAAAAGAAACAAAATGAACAGACTTTTCTGAAGCAGCACACCTGACATGGTAAAAAAAAGAGGATAATTACAGGAAGTCAACAACTAATCTTGGTAATATCAAAAATGGTATTCACGATATATATATAAATATTATACACTATCAGATATTGTAGCCCATTGAGACTAGTGAAAATCATCTAACAATTCTGTTAGATATAATTATATAGTTCTTAAACATTACAAAAAATGAAACCAAATTCTTTACAAATTACTCGAAACAATACAATTTGATAGACAATTTTCACTTCCACCAAAACACAATAAAAAAGGATTTTGGTTAAGAACGCAAATGTTTCATTTAACGGTATATGAGTATGAACGTCTTAAGTTTCATCTGTATGAATAATTAACTATTTTTACTGTATTCTAAATCACGAACTGATCATATTTGAATAATCATTAAAAGCCAAGGAATAATAGACAGCGTCTTTGTATTATTATGGGACTCCAGTCAGTAGTTTGCATTGACTACTCTATCATAACACGATCAGCCCCAGAATGTTTCAGATGTTACAAAAAAAACGCTTAACCTCCCGATCATTAAGTTAGCATCTAACGACTTAGTTCTAAGTCTAATTCATTCATTATATCGTGCAGCTTTCATTATTATTGATGAGCAACTGTTTCACAGTTAACATAGTTGAACTCCAGTGGTCATAATCTCTCAGTAGAACTCCTCGGAAAATTATCACCTATAACTAGTCACCAATCAGCACGTAATGATTACGAGCGTAAGGAATTTTACAAATAGTTGAAATTTATTATAGTTGACACCATGGATTGATTTTAGTCAGACAACGATCGAAAACTAGGAAATACCACTAAACAGCCCTCCCCCTTGTGGCTTACTAATGATAATCAATGGTTTGTATTAGGTTTCCTTTGGTTGTAAAAAGCTTATTCGAACTATAAAACAACGACTAATGACCATTGTAATTTAGATAGATTCGTTACTATTTTATAGAGATACACTACAATGACTATCGTAGCACATCTAGCACAGTGTTACTACAAAATTCTAGTGATTTTCGCGTACTAAAACAAAACATTTAAAACAGACAACTAAATATCAAAACAGTAGTATAAACTGTTTAATTACAACTCAGAATAAATCCACCGTTATTCTTATTGTGTATTCTTTTCTTCTTCCAAAATTATCTTAGCAAGATGTTATAACTTGTGGATCTGTGTGCCCTGTATATTGAATAACGCAACGATACCGCCAGTCATAGAGCAGCGAATTATCGATCGAACCAGTGACCAGCCTAGAATCCTGATTAGTCCTGCTTTCCACCTAGCCCAGCCAGATAAGTCCAGAACACAAGTCTCAGCCTCTGCGATGTGAATCATTTGTTTCAAACATACGGGGTTTATATACCAACCAGACAGACCACATCGTGCCATAAAATAGGAAATAACATTTGTACAAGATTTAGCCAAATGCAGCTGTGAATGGGGGAGGTAGTAATTAATAGACAGGGCATAATTCAGGAATGGTAAATCGTATAATAATAGTCTATGGGTCAAATTAAAGCTTATAATAAGAGCGACATGAATATGAACAGTTTAGTAACATAACAATTATACGATAAAAATATGCTCATAGTATTAGTCCATAAATGGATCCCAAAAGTTACCATTCATTATTCTTATCGGGATATAACACAAGGTTATACAAACCTCCATATTGTTGAGTTTGTTTATTTATAAATTATTTATATTTCTTGAAAAACAATCGATACATCACTTACAAATTTCTGCTCATCTGTTCTTTTTTTATTGTCTCTATCTATCTTTCGTGCTCGCTTTATACCATTCATAGATGAATTTGTAGTGGTCACTATACTGGATGGCATACATGCAAGCATAAGTTCTTTTATAGGTTGTACACTGTATATATACATATTCTCTCCTCTTTCTCATCTTCCTCCCTTTTCCAATGTATAGATACGTATTTATCTTACATATTTTTGATACGGATCATAATAATTACTGATCGAACTAACTAAACAACAATTGATCTATTCATTGGAAAATATGAATCAATAAAAATAAAAATTCCAGTAGAAAATGTTTTGGAATTTTCTTCTATTCGAAAATATTCCGAACTGTTTTACTTGTAAACTGATGGTCGATAAGACAAGCAGTCACGTGTTGATGTAGAATACAGAGAAAAAATTGG